TTGCATAGCTATACCGACAACACGGCCAGCAAGGCAGGGACTATAGACTGCCTCACCTGTACGGGCTTCGCCGGAGCGCGGCTACATCAAAGGGAATACCGCTGTGCGAGTGAGCGGGACAACGACTTAATTTTCGGGGGCCAACGACCAGTTTTCGGGAACAAAGGCACAATCTTATTGAATTGGTATGTTCCTGAAAATTGGTTGTTGTCCCTGAAAATTGGTTGTTGTTCCTGAAAACTGGTCCATGTCCCGACAACTTGGATATGGTTTTTAAATTTAAATGGTGCTCCGCTAATTTGGAGAGTGTTTCCGTAATTTGGGCCATGCAAATATGATTTAGATTGTACATCATTAAGTTAGCCATGCATAGATTATTTAGCTGGTACGTCATTAAGTTGGGTCATGAATTTATGATTTAGATTGTGTTTTGTAAAATTCAATGCTAATTGAAGTTTACTGGTATAATAAGGTAGATTAAGTCGTAGAATTGATTTTTTCGTCCTTAAGTGTTTCTCAGTGTAAGCGTTTAGCTATAATATTCACCTGCCGCGTGGCCTTGTCCATCCCCTTCTCCTTGTCGGCCTTCTCGCCCTGTAGCGTCCTCAGAGATTCCTCTTTTTCCAGCACAACAAGTCGTAACTCCTTCAGTGACTCCATCCCATCAGCCTAAAATGCCACAAAAGCTTTTCATGAAATGAAACCAAACAGTTCTTATATATATATATATATATATATACTGAAAAGTTATATCCATATAGGCTTGATTCATGCACAATTAGCAAATATTAATAAACATGCTTTAACTCTTTTTATTTCTTCTTTCCATTAAACTGTCCAATGATTTTTCTGCATTTAAGTTTAAATAACATTTTTTATTACTAGTTTTTTCTCTTAAAAAGGAACATTATAGAACTTTTTTGTATCTATTTTATTTATGGTATTGTAACACAAGAATTCCACGGAAGTGGATGTGTCGCCTGCGCAGAAAGCTGGGAGATTACGAAGAAATAGATACACTTTTCATTTCAAGAAATAATGTTAAAAGTAGACAATAATCATAGATTATGTTTTTGGATGGCATCATTTTGTTATATAATCTGTTATTCTGGGAAGAATACTCTGAGTTTTAAGGAACTTGCTATGGATACTCATTGTCTCAATTCCAAGTTTAATTTGTATGATTTGTCGGATGGTTTCCCATAAATAAATGAATAAACTTGTGGATTATGATGTTAAACAGCTAGTGTTGTCAATAACATTTGGAGTAAGACGGCATTTCAGAGGTATACACGGTGGGTCAAGTGGTAGATCGAAGCCGTCCAGTATACAGTTTTAGTGAAGTTTCTATTTATAGTAACAGTGACCTTGACCTTTGACCTTCGGACCTGAAAAGCAATCCCAAGCAAGCACTTTTGGTAAGGAAGCACTGCATGAAGTTTGAGTTTGATCGGCCCAAGGAAACTCAAGTTATCGCATGAAAACAGATTTTCTATTTATAGTAACAGTGACCTTGACCTTTGACCTTCGGACCTGAAAAACAATCCCAAACAAGCACTTTTGGTAAGGAACCACTGCATGAAGTTTGAGTTTGATCGGCCCAAGGAAACTCAAGTTATCGCACGAAAACCTCTGTTCGGACGCCGACGCCGACAAAGCAATACCTATGTGTCACCAGCTTTTCGCAGGCGACACAAAAATCATAAATCAATCTTCCTCTACTTGGTATTTTAAGGTAGATTTAAATTTGAATGACTATAAACAATGTTGTCCTGTACCCCTTCACCGTCCAGATCAATGACATCTCCGTCTAGGGCAGTGGTTGTTTCCTCAATGGTTTCCTTCATGTCTGCTATATCACTGGTCAGCTCTTTGATATCTTTTCCAATACCTCGGATTTCTTTCTTCAGATTTCTTATAGTTCTATCAGCTTCCTCCTTTTCCTCTAAAAGAGACTGTATCTCAGTTTCTGATGACTCGCAGGCGTCATGTAAGTTCAGGTTCCTAGTTTGAAAAGGAAATTACATTTAGCTCAGAACGCTTAGATTATCAAACAGTGCTACCACCACCACCACCACCACAAAACTTGGATATATTCAGACTCGAGTAACAATGCTGAAATTTGTGTTCATACAGTTTCGTAAAGTGATTGAATGCTGAGTTCAAGTCCTTTGACAACATCAAATTTGGTAGGAGGGACCTACCTCATTATCTCTGAGGGCATGATGTCGTCAGACTTTGTACAGATGAAGGCTACACTGCCATACTGCCCATCCATAAGGAGCTGACGCCGAAAGTTCTCCCCCAGCATATCCTTGGCCGTCTTGTTATTGATGGCCCTATGTATAGCTGCTACCACCCACACAACTGTGCAGTTCTTCAGGTACTGGAGGAAAGCAAATAAACATAATTAAATATTTACCTTTAAATTAGGTAGAGACAAATCTAAATTAAAGTCTTGTACGGTAACTGGCTGTGAAAAGCATTATCAACTTCATTATTGATGAATTTTCGATATACCATTTTTGACACAGCCATTGTTCTCCAGCAGTAAGCCAGTGCCTTGAAATCCCATTCATACGTATATAATGCAGTTCCGTCGAAATACCAACAAATGCTAGTTCATAGTTTGCAATAAGCCTTTTTACCATTTACCTACTTCAAATCGAAAATTATGAGCTGATCCCCTTCTTGGGAGATAAATACTAAACCTTCCCTCCAACTCATATTTTAAATTGTAACTTACTAAAATATAACACAATTTCAAATATCAATTCTTCTAATTAGAGTACAGGTGGTGGGGTAGGTAGGGATTTTCTCAAGAAGTCAATCGCCCTGACCAACATCTGACTTATATTTAACTATAGAGGGATGCAAAAGCACAAAAGGGATGGGGTAAAAGATATCTATATGTTCTTTCCATTGTGAGATATTTGAACATTAATGTAAGAAATATGAAGTTTCCCTATCTATAAATTTGTCCTCACATTTCTCGCTATCTGGTCACGTGCAGCGTTGGAATCGCGTACACCTGGCAGATCTACAAGGACAGCTCCACTGCTACAGGCATCACAGTTGGGCATGCGTATGGTGACTTGCTTCACGATTGGCCAAAACTGACCACCAGCTCCTGGGTCAGCCGTCTCTATGTACCGGTCAATCAGTTGTCTGAAGAATTTTGGCTAAAAAGATGGACATGCCTTTGTCAAAGATTTTTTTGAAGGATCAGACCTTTTATTTAACTGGAGGAAGAAAGAGTTCAAAACTTTAAGTGACAAACAACTACATGTACCAGAATATGGACAGTATATGTCAGAGCTACTGAATTTGTAAATATTTACTATGATAATATAGATCAGATATCAGATATATCTTAATGTGAAACTGTACATCACTGCACTTATGAAAACTGAGGAATCTTGAACTTCTGTAATCCAAAAGTTGGCATATTTTGAAATACTCGTTTTAACATGAAAGCTGCCATGTTGACCTGTCTATGAGTGTGACTTATAATTACTACTGATTTTGTCAGACCATGTGTAGCCCTGATAGTTTTAGTCTGTAGGATTTACATTTGTAGCCCTGATTACTTTGGACTTGTCTGACTTACATCGGTAGCCCTGATAGTTTTGACATTGTCTAACATTCTGGTGACAGCAGTCAAGCGTGACAAAGCTGCCATGGTGTCGACTTTGCCGTACACAGCCTTGACCTTGAGGAAGGCCACCCCAGCTTCAGAGTCTTGGTCAGGCACACTCTTCTTCAACTTTCCATCAGCTGTGGTCAAGTCAGATATCAATAGTTGGAGCTCATCAAACCACTCCTGTTGAAATAAAGTTATGTGAAAATTACCCTTTTGATAATTATTTCCATATTTGATTTTCTTATTCAAAACTGAAATTTAAAAGAAAATATAAATGTCAAATTATTTGTGCAAAAGGCTCTACTTGGAATTGAGATCATCAAGTCAATTATAACATTCTCCTTATTTTTATATCATATATTGATAGAGCCAATCATATGAAGGTTTGTGGGATATGGATTCCGTATATGAAGGTGAAGGTTCAGAACTGAGGCTTTGGTGGTATGGTGTACGTAGGTGTACCACAAACTTTACCATACAAGACCCTCAGTTCATGCTTGTGAATTTTATACTAATGATACTGAATGGTGTCACTTGCAGTCAGTGAAACAATGTTTTAACAGGGTTTTGATAGCGACATCATAATATAATACATGTATCCCACTTGAGTGTTCTGTATGGAACATGTACATCTTACATATGATTAACAAGTACACAAGACTGACCACTAAGCCTTTCCTCAGGCATGTAGAGGTGGGAGAATAGTTTTCAATACAAAATTTATTGAAAAGTTTTGATCGAAGCTGACATTTGTTAGTTTGATAATTTGCACTATCAAAATTCACATCCTTTAATGACATTTGCTGTTAACAGGACATTAAACCCTATAAAGCGAAACAAAACTATCAAAGTTGCTTGTTGTTTTGTATATACTCTACCTTGTGAGACAGAAACGTGATGTCTGCCTCAAAGTTGGAGCTAGTGGTGTTGGCTAGGACCTCCACTACTACGGCTGTACAGGCTCTCATCCCCGACGTAGGTAGAGTGTTGTGTTGGTCTATTACTGCATTCATCAGGCTGGACTTCCCAGAACCGGTATCCCCAACAACTGCGATTGTCGTCTTGGGTAACAGTGTTTTGTCCTCCACCTCTGACAGGTCTTTCCTGAAGACGAACAGTTTTATTTTCCATTTCATAACATACATACAAACACCATAATAGGACTTCTATTTCTGTAGAGTGATAAAGCTGTTGTGTTTTTTTGTAAAGAGAGGAGCAAGGCTCAGTGGTCGCTACTGGCTGTAACATAGGGAGGTGGGCATATTTGAAATGTACCCTGTATCATCTTATCTTTGAACAAGTGTGATCATTGATCAGTGCCATTAAGCTGTACATCTGGGCATACACTATCTCAGCAGAAGTTCAGCGTGTGACTAGATTCTTTACTTCGGAAATCAGGTTGAGTTTTATGTTTGACGAGACTTAATTTATTCGTAAGGGTAAAATAATTCATTCAAACTGTAAAATATTTTTCTTTGTCTCTTTTAAACTTGAAGGAAAATCCAATACAAGGTCAATTTGTGGGATACCTACAGTAGTAGCAAGAGTGTCACATAGCGTAGTATCATATATTCACAGTAATGACCACAATAAATAAGTGCTAAACTGAGTTTAGCAGTGGTCCTGATACCAGTACATACCTCCACTGTGACACTCGGGGAAAGGTGCTGAGTCTAGGTCCATTCAGAGCCAGGTGCAGCTTACTGATTACATCTTTACATCTATAAACATTAAAACATTCAAGATACCAAAGTTAATTTGACAGGAACTTAAGGATCATATCATATATTTAAATATATATTTAAAATGTTGCATGATCATTTTGTGAAGAAAACAAATTGAAGGTGTGTTAATAGCACTATTATGAACACTGCTAGTGTCACATAATTAGCCTATAATACCCCATTATGTGTCATTATCATGATTGGCAGTACACTTTAAAAGTGTGATTACCTTTAATATTCAATCAATCCCTCAAATGACTAAGATTGTTGAATGAAGTGTTGAATGTAGAACTGTCCCATCAACATTTTTTCAAGGAGATTACATTGTACTGTACTCAATACGCTGTTCATATTTCAAATGCAGTGGTGTGTTTTGTTGTTCAGCTTGGAAATAACAGATCTCATTTGGCGAGGACAGAAAAATAAAACATGGGGGCAAAGACTGATGCATAAATTCCAGCTTTTCAAACCCATCATACGTTTAGCAATTCAATATATCTTCTGATGAATAATAACATTGATTAAGAAATACTTTAATTTCTTATCTAGAAAACGTATCCTTACCTTGTCAAGTAGTCAGCTATTCTGCCGTTGGACACCTCAGCCTCAGTATGAATGCGTCGCTGAACTGAGCTAGCAACAGGGATTTCTCCAGGTGTCTCCTGACTAGACGAGACAGATTCTGATTGCACAGGCGTAGCTTTTTTCTTAGTTTTGTATTTTTTCAACTTAGCTTGAACGTTAACTAAAAATTCTTTAGCTTTTCTCTTCTTAGCCGATCCTTCTGTATTCTTCACAGAAAAGAGCTTTCTAGATGCATTATCAAATTCGCTTTCACTCATGTCTGTTACAAGAGGGCACTGTGTACTTATCAACATGTCTTCGTCAAAGGCCTTCTTCAACTTGCTGGCTGGAGAAATTTTCTTAAAAGCCATTCTACTTGTACACTTTGTTCTTGCTCGCTTTGGTGATGGAGCTTCGTCCATTTCTCCATCATCCTCATTGAACAATGCAGGTCTCTTAAAGCTTGTACTTGTTGAGGGCATGGTGAAATCGTCTGGTCGAGGTGTAGTAGTAATGGACCTGTTATCTGTCTCTTCACTGTCACTGAAGTGATCCCTACAGTTGTGTCCCGGAGAGATCGTGGGACTAGCATCATCATTTCTATTATCCTCTACATCTTGTATTTCATGATCATCTACATCTTCCATAGATGATTTTGATTCCTCATTCATTTTTTCATCACTGTCCTCGAAAGCTCCCCAATCCATAACAGGAATACTGAATTCTTCATCCGAGTCAAACATTTTCGAAGCACCTTCCACAGACCCCTCTCCTGTCCTGGCTTGTATGTCAAATGTCTTTGTTACATCTGGGAAAACAGGTGACAGACATTGGGAGGGAGTAACATCGCCCAGCGGCTCCGAAGGGGACGGGGGAGGGAGAACATGTATGTTCATATCCATGTCATCGTCTTCATCGCACGTATTAGGAATCACATCATCATCACCATCATCTGGAGATTGAGGAGGAGGTGAGATAGAGGAAGGGACAGAGTCATTATCATCCATGCTTTCCTCTAGACAATCACCTATTGTTGGGTCACCTTGGCATGAAAATTCATCACTATCATCAGCAGGGGCCTGAAATATACCAGTAACATGAAAGGATAGGATGTTATTTTCTAGTAATAGTTATCTTGGCCTTTGACTGGAAAATCATTCAGTGGTTTTCAGAAATCCCAGTTTCTGTAAAACCACTTTGATAACTTCCTTTTTATATCAAAACAACAATGTTCAGAAAGGATTTTGATTCTGACTCGGGGCTTTTTACAGGATAATGAAATAGCTACTCTACTGAACTGGAACAAGATATGGATGGGCTTATTATCAAATAAATACAGTAATAATATACATGTATTCTTAATGCCGTATTTATACACTCTATTGTCAATGTGGCACACAATCTTATCAACAAACATTTACTGTTCACAATCAATAGGAGCTATGGTTTAACAAAACTGAACAAAACACACCTGGCTTGTCTTACTGTCCTTAATGAGAGTGGTATTATCCGATTCCAGTTCCTTGTCCTTCTCAATGGCTGTGTGCAGATCATCCCCCTCAATGGCTGTGTGCATATCATCCCCCTCAATGGCTGTGTGCAGATCATCCCCCTCAATGGACGGGGATGATTCTTCCGTGGCGGCAGCATCTAATGCCTTGTTGGTCCCAAACACTTCTTCACTGAACGAGGAGGGTGGCAGTGAAGAATCCTCACAAAATTCTTCAGAATTGAAAATATCTTGAACTGATGATTCTCGGCCTATAACAGAAATAATGTTTAAATATCACCAACTGACAAGATAACATCTAAATGTGTATGACCTACAAGATATTGTCTATATGCGTATGACCTACAAGATGGAGTTTAAATATATGACCTACAAGATGTCTTAATGTGTACCACCTACAATGTCTAAATGTGTACCACCTACAAGATGTCTTAATGTGTACCACCTTCAAGATGTCTTAATGTGTACCACCTACAATGTCTAAATGTGTACGACCTTCAAGATGTCTTAATGTGTACCACCTACAATGTCTAAATGTGTACGACCTTCAAGATGTCTTAATGTGTACCACCTACAATGTCTTAATGTGTAGGACCTATATAGCTACATGATGTCTGTGAATGGCTGACAAGATAATGTCTACATGTGAACAACATGCAAGATAACATCTAAATGTGTACGACCTTCAAGATAATGTAAAATAAAGATAAACAATAAAGATTATGTCTAAATCAGAACCTTTCAACTTATCATGTTCTTTAAACCTGATTCTGAGTAGCAAACTTTCTCATCTGTACCAGTGTCATTCTGATGGCCAACTTGGAGGTCATCCACCAGGTCGATGCCCAGGTCATCCTGAAGGTCATTAGATTTACTGGAGCTTTGGGCAGGACTGAGACCCACTAATCTGGTCTCAATCTGGTTCAGCATACTCCTCTTCTGTGCTGATTTCATTGGACTTGAGAACTTTGAATTTGAAGGACCATCATCATCCGAGTCACTGTCTGTTATAAGTTCAATGTCATCATAACAACACTTCAAGTTTCCACTTTTGTTTTTCTTTCTTCGGGGTCGTCGCTTATATTTCGACGGTGTATTTTGCTTCTTTTCTGGCATTTCGACTTTACATTTGACAGGTGATCGCTTTTTTGTCCTTTTTCTTGGTGAATTTTTCTTCTTATCCACTGGCTGATCCTCTAAACTAGACAATGGAGTATTTGTGCTCAACTCTGACATTGGTGAGTTTAAAACCCTTCCAGGCAAGTATGATGTGGTTTTTTGAGTCTGTAGTGGTGAGTCCAGGCCTGCCTGTACCACTGGCTTTGAGCCCATGTCCATGTCCTTGGTAGTGGATCCAGTAGAATCACATCCCCGTGATACTATCTCTTGTTTTACAATCACTTCATCTGTGAACTCGAACTTAACATGAACATTTGTTTTTTTCCTTTCTTCTCTCAGAAACATAACCTCAGGTAGCTCATCACTGGAGTCAGATATCACGATTTCAGTTTTACTAGAAGCTACATACAAAGGAACTCTTTCCACTACAGATGCGGTGATCTCTATTGAGGAATCAGTCTCGAAGTCGGGGAGTGGACAGTAATTGATGGAGCTCACGTCTGTGTACTCTGTATTCTGTTCTGAGTTGTTAACAGTTACCATGGAATCCATCTGATCACTGGTGATTTCATCAGGAGGTGTGTAATCTGGTGACAATTCAGAATTATTTCCACAGATTTCTGGACTATTTATCTTATCTGCTGACAACTTGGACATAAACTGTCTGTCCCTTCCAAATTCTGCAGAAACTGGTATTGGCGATTCCACCAATTCATCTTTTATAAAGGTGAACTTGTTTTTAGGTCCAACGTTCTGCTTTTTGTCCAGCACATTACTTCTGCCTTTCACATCATCCTCTGTCGAATCATTACCTCCCCAGCACTCCAGCTCCTCAGAACTTCTAAGCGTGATTATTGAGATGTCTGAGGAGTCCATGTCACTAAGGCTGTATGTCTTTCCCTCGGGATCCAGCATAGGGATGCTGCTGAGGAGACTTTTCCCCGCCAGAGTTTGACTCTCTGTTTTCATATAACTTCCTACTGCCTTCACGGGAGACTTCAATCCTGTGTGGACAACTGAAGCTACCAGTGAATCGGAGTCAGATGTAGATCCTGCGTGATTATCCCAATATTGGTGTGTGTCATCATTTTCTGTATTTGTTGAAAGTTCTGACATTCTTCTCTCCTGGTTTGAAGCTGATGTCAATTTTCTCTCACATTCGGTTGATGATTCCATTTTTTCAGGAGGTACTGGAGCCAAGAGTGATTCAGAATCAGAATCATTACTCGCGTGGTCTTCCTCAGTGTCTCCACAGGCCTGGGTCTGATTTGTAGAATATGCCAATGCTTCCACCGGGGCCAGCAGAGATTCGGAATTTTCTACTTGCGAGTCAGCAAAGGATAAATCTGAACCCTCTGAACATGCAGACAGTTTCTCAAGGGTGAAATCTATATTTCTGTTCTCATCTTTTTCTTGGCACCTTGCCAAAATGTTTTCATTTGATGTTATGTCACATGCATCAGCTTCCATATACTTTTGTACATCAGTCTCCATGTTCTTGTTGTCATCCACAGATGTTTGGGTAGTTTGAGTGTCAAAGTTTTCAGGATGGTTGCTACCTTCATCTCTTGATTCTGATGAGAGACAAGGACTGAATCCTTGGGATTGTCCTGAAACATCAGAATCATTAGACATATGATCGTCCACACCACCATGGCTACTGCTGTTTTCTGGGTTACTAGGTTCAGAAGCCTCACTCTGGATTTTCTCTTCACTTTCAATTTCCATATCGGCACTTGATGCTTGTAGAGTTTCTGTAGCACCAATATGAGAACCTTCTGTTGACATACATAAGTTTCCAATGTGGCAATCATCGACAACTACAGGTGCCTCCTCATGCTTAAGGCCGTCATGTAGACCATCACTATCAGTCATCATTTCGTTCACATTTTCATCCAGAATTTTAAAAGATTCATCTTGGCTGCTTTGAGGTGAGAGCACCTTGAATTCTTCACTTTCCACTTTGTGAGCCAGATCTGTCAAGCAAGCCGATACTTCCTTCAGTTCCTCACACCCTGTGTCAGACTCTTTGTCCTTTGGGCGAGCCGATATCTGCTCAGATGATTCTGTCGAAGTCAAAACAGAGTTTGTACCTGAGACACAATTGCTAGATTCAGAAAAATGTTCACAAGTGTTTTGTACAGAAGCATTGTCTATATTTTCTCGTTCTTTTGAAGTAATCTGACACTCCATGTCAGCTTCTCCTTCGATGTTACCAGTATCACTATATGCATCCACAGAAATCGTGTGTGAATCATCAGTGCGATCTGCTGATATCCTCTGTGACTCTGCATGTTTCTTCTTATATGAAAAGAAATGCTTAACTATCTTGGCAATATTCTCTTTCTTCAGCTTCCGTTTTGTACAGGCTGACTTTTTGGTAGACAGTACTTTGTGTCTGATGTTGAAAAAGTTTGACACAGTAGTTTTCACATTTTGATACCATGCAGTCCTTTTTTTCTTTCCTGTGTTACTCTCATCATCAGAGGTGCTATCTGAAAATGTCCGCTTTCTCTTTTTTGGAGCAAGTTTACTGCTGTAATATTTGACTAACGGCTGATCGGTTTCCTCAATTGTCTTCACTGAACACGAATCCTTGATGTCCATCTGGGTATCATGCTCTAAGGTTTCAATGCTCTCACAACAAGGTTTCTTCATCACGACATCAGCACATTGTTTGTTAGTGTCTGGACACAAACTCTCTTGTCCTGAAGGCTGGATCTCTTTTGCTTCATCAACCAAATCCTCTTCTTTAGCAGTCACTTCTGGAGACCTAGTGTCTACATTCTGGACTGCTTCCTCGACATGGGTTTTCACTCCAGCTGTAGCACCAGTTGACACATCCTCTGATACACGTACATCTTCTGAAACAACAGCAGACGTGTCTGTTGACACAACAGCAGACAAATCAGTCGACACAATAGCAGACCTATTTGTTGACACAACAGCAGACACATTTGGCACATCTGTTGACAAAATTGCAGAAACATATTCTGACACAACAGCAGACACCTCTGTTGACACACCCGATATAACAGCAGACCCATTTGTTGACACAGTAGCAGTCACATCTGCGGTGGCACACACATACACATCAGCTGGGCAAAGTTCATCCATTGGATCACCAACAGTGTTTCCTTCAATTGAACTGGCACTATTCAATTTTCGGTTGTCCACTTCCCATTGACATACCAGGTCACTTTCACTAAATTGTGAGGTGTAACTATCTGTTTGTGGCAAGCTGCTGAATTCCAATGAACTTTCCTGATGGGAATCAGCACAGCTTCCTTCTGAAGTCACACAGTTTTCTGTTTTGACATTGCCTTCTGATGTAGATTCTATATCCATCCCAGTAACATCTGCACTTTTGTCTTTATTGGATAATTTCTCTTCCGTTCCAGACCCCTCATTTGCTACAAACTGGTCATTGTCTGTACTTGACCTTCCAGAAGTCATTTCCTTCAACATGTTGTCTCTGTTTTCATGAACATTGACAATGCTTTCCTGATTGACTAGGTCATTCTTTGTGGATAATTCACAAGAACCTTTTTCCTGGAGGATACACTTTTCATTTGTTGTTAACTTTTCTACATGATCTTTTGTCTGTGTAGTGTCCGAAACACTGGTCTCAGTAACAACCTGTCCGGTGATTAACGTGCTGCTAGTAACTTTTTGGTCCTCTCTGTCACAGTTGTCCATCAAGATAGATTTGCTTGAATTAGTTTGATCTTCTCCATCGTAGTTCTCTTCCAGAAATTGTTTGTCTAATATAAACACGGGAGGGATGTCCTTTATCTCCTGCGTGGACATGGAGACATCTTGAAGGTCTGAAATATTGTCAACAGATATCATAGAATCCTCAAGACAACTAATCATGTCTGAAGCATCATCTCTATCTCTCCGTCTCTTGCTGGCAGGAGACATAAACACTTCCTCACCACTGCTGTTTTCTGTGGTCTTAGCTAGGGGCGAGATACTCTTGCCGAAGTCTTGTAGGGCCCAAATGTTTTTAGAAATTGGTGAGGTACTACCAGCAGAGCAAGGTTTGGAGACATCACAAATGTCAGATTCATTATCTGTCTCGGCTTCTACACTCTCCTTTGTTGGGGAATTCTTAAGTTCCTGTTCTAGAGCAGTTATATTGTCCATCTTGGGCTCCATTCTCCACTTCGTCATAAAACCTTCTTGTATCTGTACTGAAGGATTCCTACCATCTCTTTCAGCTTTCATTCTTTCAACTCCTGGGAAACCCACCAGTGTCTCTTCTGTATGGGTCATACCATCTGACTCAGTCTCCATACTCTCACCTATTGGAGAGCCCTCAAGTACATGTTCAGTAGGAGTGATACAATCTGACTTGGTCTCCACGCTCCCCTCTGTAAGAGAATCGTCCTGTATCTGTTTCTCAGGGGTCATACAATCTGTCTTGGCCTGCATATTCCCATCTGTCAGAAAATCTTCCATTTTTGGTTCTGCTTGGACCATAATGCCTGTGTTAGCCTCTTTAATCCCATTTGAACTCAATATCTTTTCTGTTTGAATTGTATCATCCACCTCAGTCTCCATACTTCCATCTGTAATAGAAGCCTCCAGAATCTTTTCCACAGTGGTCATGGCATCTGCCTCAGTCTCCTCACTCCCCTCTGCTGGACAACCCTCCAATATTTGTTCCTCATGGTTTGTACCATCCATCTTGGCCTCCATAATTCCATCTGTTGGGAAAGCCTCAAGCTCTAAAACAGTTTCTTTGGGAGTCATACTATCTACCTCAGTCTCCATACTTCCACCTGTCCTAGAACCCTCCAGACTCTGTTCCTCAGGGGTTATTGCCTCCATACTTCCATCTGTTAGAGATTCTCCAAGTATATGATTGGAAGAAGTGGTACATTCTGTGTCAGTGTGCACATTCCCATCTGTCTGAAAACCCTTGTGTTCCTCAGGGGTCATACAATCTGTCTCAGTCTCCACACTCCCCTCTGTGGGAGAACATTCCAGTATCTGTTCCTCAGGGGTCATACAATCTGTCTCAGCCTCCACACTCCCCTCTGTGGGAGAACATTCCAGTATCTGTTCCTCAGGGGTCATACAATCTGTCTTGGCCTGCACATTACCATCTGTCGGATAACTCTCCACTTTCTGTTCTGCAAGGGTTACAATGCCTGTCCCAGTCTCCATACTCCCCTCGGTTGGAAAAGCCTCAAATATCTCTTCTGTTGGAGTTGTACCATCTACCTCAGTCTTCGTACTTTCATCTGCTGGGGAACACTCCGAAACTTCTTCCATTGGAGTTATACCATCGGTCTCGGGCTTCATACTTCTATCTGCTGGAGAACTCTCCAATATCTGTTCTGCAGAGGTCATTTCATTTTTCTTGGCCTCTATATTCCATTCTGATGGAGAATCATCCAGTATCTTTGGCGGGAGGTAATTCCTAACACTTGTTTGAGGTTCTGACACCACATTTTCTGCTTGCATGTCTTGATGTTCTTCTAAACAGTTTTTGTCAGGATTTGAACTCAAAACATTGACATCATACTGTTTCCTTATATCACAGCTTTCCTTGAGTTCTTCAGAATCGGAAGTTGAAGTTTGACAAACAGATTGCTGAATTTGTTCTCTATTCACGCTCTTTTCATCATCTGTTTCCTCAGCTTGTTGAACCAAAGAACCATCACAGCAGCCTTGCACAGACACAACCTTGAAATAACCTTGGGAATTCTGTGTGAGTTTTTTAACACTAACGTAATCATGATCACTGCTAGAGGCATAATGTGGGACAGTGGACAACCCTGATACACTTCCAGCAGTGGCTCGGACAGTGGACAGCCCTGATACCCTTCCAGCAGTGGCTCGGACAGTGGGCAGCCCTGATACACTTCCAGCAGTGGCTCGGACAGTGGGCAGCCCTGATACACTTCCAGCAGTGGCTGGGACAGTGGACAACGCTGATACACTTCCAGCAGTGGCTCGGACAGTGGACAGCCCTGATACACTTCCAGCAGTGGCTCGGACAGTGGGCAGCCCTGATACACTTTCAGCAGTGGCTGGGACAGTGGACAGCCCTGATATACTTCCAGCAGTGGCTGGGACAGTGGACAACCCTGATACACTTCCAGTGGCTGAAGGTGACAGATCCATACTACATTCTATAGTTTCTTTATCTAGGATATCCTCACGTTTTCCTGCGTCAATGTAGTTTCCATCCTCTATAAAACACTGTTTATTATCACCATCCTTTTCACTTGATTTTACTTTGGACCATGTTGCTTCCTGCTGTTCCCATGTCTCAGTGTCAGTATCTCCTACAACAGGGTTCTTAGAAGAAGACGCAACTACACTAGGATTCTCATAACCAGATACTTTTTGCAGACTATCATCACAGCTGATCAGTAGTTGCTTGATTTCCTGAACTGCTTGGTTGTCAGAATTTCCTATTTGAGCATGTGCAACTGACTTCTCTGTCAAGACAATACTACCATTTCTTTCCTCTTGATCCATTGATGTTACGGCATGCTCTGTTGAATTTGGATCTAGGCTTTCTACTGGTTGGCTTGGCGTGAACATATCATCTTTTACAGTGTCTACTGCACAACTAATGTTGCCTTCGTGAATCTCCAGCACAACATTTCCATCCACTTCATCTGCCCTTATAGAAAAGTTATTACTGAGATTATCACGAGCCATTTCCATTTGGGTACATCCTGGGTACAAGGTAACATCTCCAGGTTCTTCTTGTTGTTGAATATTTTCACTGGTGGAATTGTCGTCTTGGTTGACTTCCACTCTAGATCTGTTCAGAGTTTTTCGTTCGCTCTTGTCAAGGTCAGCTCTATCACTATTGTCATTGTTCAAGGTGTCCATATCCATTGGAATTATCGTCCTGGCTGTATCTCTGTCAATGGCATGATTCTCATGATCAGTGCTTGTGCTGTCTTCATGTTCCACATGTGTATCCACCACAATATTGCAAAGATCAGAATTGTTTTGATTAGATGACATATTTTTGGACATATCCTTCAATATTTTGAAGTTATGGTAAGGTTTCTGGTCAAGATCAATATCAGCTACATAGGGATTGACATTATTTTCACTGGGATTGACATCATCTTCATTCGGATTGACATCATCTTCATTCAGATTGACATCATCTTCACTGGGATTGACATCTTCATTCAGATTGACATCATCTTCACTCGAATTGACATTATTTTCACTGGGGTTGACATCGTCTTCACTGGGGTTGACGTCATCTCCACTAGGTTTATCAGTTTCATTCTTGATCAGTTCGGCTGGCTGGATTGGAGCAAATGGATCTTCAAATTCATCACCTTCATTGAGTTTTGTTTTGCCATCGATGTCATCTATGTGCTCCATAACTACATCAACAGATTTGCTGCAGTCTTGTTCTACTGTTGACATGCCGAGCTGTTGCTTCTCTAGATCTGCTACTTCATCCTTGAATGCCTTGTCTGTATTTTTCTGTTCAGACAGTGTTGAGGTATGATTGATAACATCTGTTTCAACCTCACCATCTTCACAAAGAACATCAGTGTCTTTTTCTTTGATCTCAGAGGTGTCCTTATCGGGTGTGACAGACCTGTTTACCTCGACAACAGTTTTTTCTATGTCATCATCGTCATTAACATTGTCCTCAGAAATATTTTCAGTCTTATCCAGTTGTGGCACTTTGAGATCACAGTCACTTCCAGTCAAATTTTTAGTTTGGTCCACTTCCGTTGTAAACACCAAACTTTCTGAGACATTTTCTGTCTTGTCAAATTGTACCTCATCCTCCATTTCAACATCACTGCAAGACATATCATAGGTCTTGTTCAAAAGTTCTTCATTGTTTCTATTGGAAACAATTTCAGTCTTGTCAAGTTCATCTGAAAAGGGCTCCGTCTCATCCAAATCATTCATAACAAGTGCAGTCTTGTTCACATCATCTGGAACATGTTCAGTCTTGTTCGCAACATCCGAAGTGTCCATGTACACCTCTTTAGTGTTTCCTTCAGTTCTACTTTTGCTCAAGTCTTCTATTGTTTCGTTTAGGTTGTCACCAACAGACGCTGAAATGCTATCATCCGAAAAGTCGTCGTCCATGTCAGAATCCTCAAACATGCCTGAATAATCAATAGAGTCAGGCACAATAATTTCTGTGGGACATTCTGCCGAATCTGTTGACTGACTTGCACAGGATTTAATATCTGGATCCCCTTCCAGTTCTGGCTCATGGTCACACATCTCCAGACCTGTATTTCCTTCTTGATGATACATGATAGGATCTTCTTCCTCGTATTGTACTGGATCGGCAGAGCCCTGTCTCCTTTGTTGTGTATCTGTGTAGGAAAGTTCTTCAACAAGAGGGACGAGAGGAGATGTCTGGATGGCAGCATCCATCTGTAAAACTTTCTCTAATGGCACTGCTTGTGCTACATTCTCTAACATAGCTGAAGTCTGTGAGGATTTCTTTTCTTGATATACATGTGTGTCATTCTTCATTGGAACTTGCCTATTAAGTACAGTCTTTTTTGGTTTTGGGGTACTTGTTTTAAATGGACTTGGACAAATGTGAGTATGTGTTTCTCTACATAATGGAATGTCGTTATTTGGAAGATTTACAACTAGGTCAAAGCTGTCCTTTTTTGATAGGCTAGCACTGTCAACTGAATTCCTACCAGGATCAATCACAGGTGGTTCTAAACTGTCTTCTCTACTAAGGTTACCACTATTCCTAGGACATTCTGCACATGGACCAGAATCCTTATCCGAAGGATTTGCATCAATCTGTTCTTCCTCTTGTTGCAGGAATATTTCTCTTTCTGCAGATGAGGTATTATCCCCTTCATCCTGCTCTACCAATAATTCGGATACAGTTTTCTGCTCTGTTGTAGCTCTAGTCTCTGTAGCCATCTCTTCTGATGCTACACTGTATGATCCCTCAGCAGGACATGTCTGTGGAGCATCATCATCATGATTCTGTGGATCCTCCATGTGACTAATACTGATAGCTCTGGCACTAATTTCTGTACTCATTCCCTCTGTCGCTGCAGTGGACGAGTCCTCAGCAGGGCATGCATCTAAAGCATCATCAGGATTTGGTAGACTCTCCTTATGACTAACACTGGGAGTAGTAAAGCTAGTGGTACTACTCGTTTCCGTATTAGTTTCTGATGTTGCCACACTGGAGGAGTCCTCAGCATCATCACGATTCTGTGGACCATCCATAGGATTAACAATGGCAGCAGTTGTTTCACTAGTTTCTGTACCTATTTCCTCTGTTGCAACAGTGGACGAGTCCTCAGCAAGGTTTGTGTGTAAAGCGTCTCCATTGCTGTTCTGTTGGCTTTCATTACTACTAACACTAGGAGTAGAATTGTCTTCAGCCAGAGGAGAAGGACAGTCTGACTGATCCTCTGATTTTGCTAGTGTGCAACTGCTGGGTTGTGATGGGGCAGCTAATACAGGACTACATGACTGCTGTTGGAACTCTTCTTTCTACAAAATAGTTATACCCAATAAAATTTAATAAAGTTCTGCTTTGATAACAATATTACATACAACGTACCTCATTTACTTCCTAAAAATCTAATCATGAAATATAACCAGTCATAGACGTGACTGCATGTTTCATTACAGGCAGAAATGTTTTGACCGAACCTTATTTATTAGAAACCTGTAAAAACAGACTTTCTACTAGGCCAAACAGTTATTGATGCCACTGAAGTTCAGTTCAGATAGGTTTAACATACTTTGATCACTTCTGGTCCAGCAATATTTTTTATGAAAATGTCAAAAATATGAAAATAGATGGATGCAGCAGCAAAGCATCAGCTTACAGTTGTGGCCATGTGAGATATTCTCCAATAAGTTTTTCTTTTCACAAGACTGATCAGATAAAAAACATGTATTCTAATGCTTACAAGTTTGCGGACATCCTCAGTTGTGAGTGTTTGGGTGGTGTTTCTGTCTCGCTTCTTGGAACTTGATCTTCCAGCATGCACCGGAACTTCAGGAACAACAAAGTTGCAGCCACTACCTGAAGGTCTCTGCAAAACCAATCATATATTAATATCAGCTTATTGTTTGAGGAATATGTAGGGGTTTTATATGGCTTTTCGGTTAATCGGGTGGCACAGTGGCCAACACACTCGCCTTTCACCAAGGCAGCCGAGGTTTGATTCCCTGATCCTTTGGGGTCTTCTTCTTCCCACATTAAGATCGTGAAATCAGCGCATTAACATTCCTAGCCAACAAGAGTGATTAATGTAAGGCAAAAAAATATTAGTTGTGTTTCCCTTATCATCCTGACAGAAAAAATAATGTAAGTACTTAGTCATTATTTTTTAATTTGGAAAATATTTTTACTATGCTTATAAAGAGCAGGATTTCTGACTTTAACAGTGCGGATATAACTAAAATGCCAATAAAAACTTTAGGGTAGGCACACAAATCCAGGGTAGGTAGATGTTTGACATATTTGACCCATATGACCTTGAAAGTAGATCAAGGTTATTTTTGTTCTCAAACTTTGTTGGGGTCCACCAAAAGAAGCTACCAGCCAAATGTTAAGACTCTATACCTTTCAGTTCTTCAGAGGAAATCGTTTAAAGTGTTCAACACATATGACCCATGTGACCATGAAAGTATGTCAAGGCTATTTTCATTCTCAAAATATGTCAGGCTCAACCAAACGAAGCTATCAGCCAAATATGAAGATTCTATACCTTTCAGTTTTTCTTCAGAAGTTGTTTGAAGCGTTTGACATATTTGACCCCTGTGACCTTGAAAGTATGTTGAGGTCTTTTTCATTTTCAAACTTTGTTGGGCTCTTACCAACGAAGCTTTCAGCCAAATATCATGACTCTTGGCCCGTCCTTTCTTCAGAAGAAGTCATTTAAAGGAAAGGTTAACTGAGGACGGATGACTTACAACAGACGACAGGCATAGTGCCATGACATAAGCTCTCTTGCCCTTCGGGCAGGGGAGCTAAAAATTAAAGACATAGGCTTTGGGGAATGGAAGGCTTCAAAATGTACTACAGAACTCGTAGGCTCTGACTGGCATCAGTCTTTGTGTATACTCACATTACTCACTATCATCTGGCCTGCACAGTTACATTTTTCAAACTGCAAAATATCAATGTAAAATATATAATAAGCATTGTACATAAAACAGTTATTTCCTTTAAATATTAACAAGAGGCCCATGGGCCTTAATGGTCACCTGATATATTTATACAGAGAGTTGATTTTGTTTTTAACACGAACAGAAATATTATTCAGTGACAAAAAACAATAAAACCACCTTATTCAATATCTAGCATACAGATTTAAGACTAAAGAGTATTTGAAACTAGCACCTCTGATTCTAAACAAGGAAAATGAAGAAATTTTAGCACACTGACTCCTTTGGGCCCCACCCTACACCCCTTGGGCGTAGGGCTGGCTCAAAATTTTCAAAGTATCAAACTGTCAACTCAGGGTTATAATTCCAATCAAGTTATCAACATGTAATATTCAAAGTATCATTTGCCATTATAAACCATATTAAATTTTGCCCCCCCCCCCCCCCCCTTTCCCCAGGGGGGAAACGTGAGACCCTAGGGTCATAAACCTTAAGACCCTTCCATCTATGAAGAGTGTTTGATTCTACCATATATATATCTGGGTCTTTGAGAAGTTTTTTTTTAAATTTCAGTCAATTCAACCCTTTTTGGCCCCACCCATCAGCCCTGGGGGGGTCAGTCGGGGCTTATATGTGCATACCATCAAACTGCTATCCAATACTAATAATGCTAACCCAAATTGAATTACTTCCAATGAAAATTAAGCAAATGTTGGTCCAAAATGTGATTTCACTATATAAACTATAGTAAAGTTTACCCCCTCCCCAGGGGTAAACGTAAGACCCCAGGGTCATAAAATTCACAATTTAGGTAGAGCACCTTAAGACCCTTCCATCTATGAAGAGTGTTTGATTCTACCATATCTTGGTCTTGAGAAATCGAAGAAGATTTTTGAAATTTCAGTCAATTTGATCCTTTTTGGCCCCTCCCATCAGCCCCGGGGGGTCAGTCAAGGCTCATATGTGTATACCATCAAACTGCTACCCAATACTGATAATGCTAACCTAAATTTAATTACTTCCAATGGAAATTAAACAAATGTTGGTCCAAAATGTGATTTCACTATACAAACTATAGTAAAGTTTACCCCCTCCCCAGGGGTAAACGTAAGACCCCAGGGTCATAAAATTCACAATTTAGGTAGAGCACCTTAAGACCCTTCCATCTATGAAGAGTGTTTGATTCTACCATATCTTGGTCTTGAGAAATCGAAGAAGATTTTTGAAATTTCAGTCAATTTGATCCTTTTTGGCCCCTCCCATCAGCCCCGGGGGGTCAGTCAAGGCTCATATGTGTATACCATCAAACTGCTACCCAATACTGATAATGCTAACCTAAATTTAATTACTTCCAATGGAAATTAAACAAATGTTGGTCCAAAATGTGATTTCACTATATAAACTATAGTAAAGTTTACCCCCTCCCCAGGGGTAAACGTAAGACCCCAGGGTCATAAAATTCACAATTTAGGTAGAGCACCTTAAGACCTTTCCATCTATGAAGAGTGTTTGATTCTACCATATCTGGGTCTTGAGAAATCGAAGATTTTTGAAATTTCATTCAATTCAACCCTTTTTGGCCCCTCCCATCAGCCCCGGGGGGGTCAGTCAGGGCTCATATGTGCATCCCATCAAACTGCTATCCAATACTGATAATGCTAACCTAAATTGAATTACTTCCAATGGAAATTAAACAAATGTTGGTCCAAAATGTGCTTCCCTATATAAACTCTAGTAAAGTTTACCCCCTCCCCAGGGGGAAAAGTGAGACCCCAGGGTCATAAAATTCACAATTTAGGTAGAGCACCTTAAGACCCTTTCATCTATGAAGAGTATTTGATTCTACCATATCTGGGTCTTGAGAAGAAGATTTTTGAAATTTTAGTCAATTTGATTCTTTTTGGCCCCTCAGGCTCCATGGGGTCGCGGACCAAACCGGCAACTATTTTTGTTGACCTTTGGCCATGGAAGGTTTCTGCAAAATTTCATTGAAATTGGTTCAGGGGTTTTGAAGAAGAAGTCGAAAATGTAAATTGTTTACGGACGGACGACGGACAAAAGGTGATCGCAATAGGTCACTTGAGATTTTGTCTCAGGTGACCTAAAATTCCTAACTGCAATATTCCATTTTTTTTGCCAGATTAGTCTGTAGGTATGGTTTATGAGTTAGATTTAGATTCATCTTACATGTTGCTCACTGAATTTGAAAATATATTTGAAAATATACAAAAAGTTTTTGTTTATTGAGTTGTCAATTCTGGATCAGTGGATCTGACATAGGACAGTGTACATGTACAAGTATCTTCAATATTGAATATTAAGAATATTTTTAAATGTGCAACTCATAAATTTTCTGCTGCATTCATTTAAATATGAAAATCTGTTATGTTCGTCTATCTTCAATATTGAGCATATATATAAGATCATTTAAAAAGGCATCTTATGAATTTTTCTCAATACTTCTTTAAACAAGAAAGTCCACTGAATGGTTAATCATTAATTCAAACATACCAAGAACTGATATTCTGAGTCAGGTTGGAGTTTCCTTACACCTCCTGGGACTTTAGCACCCTGAGGATGGCCAAATGTCACCCTGTCCCCTTCACTCAACACAACACTGTCTGTAATTAAAATAAATGATTTAAATTATAAAAATGAAACTTTTAAAATGCGACACATATTGCCACGGAATTTGAAAACTCTGGAACATGACTGTAGACACAACGCTTTCTAGACAACTCCTCCTACAGTGTTTTGGCCAAATTTCATAAAATTAATGGAGTTTACACCTCTCCTAAATTCTCTGAAAGGATAAACACTGTTACTTTAGTTTTACAGCAACTAGCAATGCGCCAATTCCATATATATATATGAGAATACTGAAGTATCTGAAAAGAACATCTACTTACGAACAATTTTTAAGTTATTGATGAACATCCCATTCATGCTGTCATCAAACAGCTTGTGATCGTTGCTGGGTGTTCGTGTCACAACTCTGGCATGGTTCCGGGAGATGTACAAACGACGCATATCTGATGCTGAATCAATCACATAGTGGGATTGAGCACTTTTTCCAATCATTGTAGTAACTTCAAAGAAACTAAAAAACAAAACCATGTTTCAATATCAAATTTTCATTTCAAAGTATATTCAAAAGATACAAACTGTTTTGGGTTCAAATTAAAAATCAGCACAAGATACCTGTGCCCTTTTCAGAATAAAGCAGTTTGTGAGAAACTGAATTTTGCATGCTGCATTTAATCTAAATTATTAATTCCAGATATTTTATTTTCTAACTTAGTAAATTATTGACTTTGTCCAATTGAATACTCTAGAGTACATGACTTTTGAGGTAATAGCAATCTTTTCGGTGTACACGCAAGTAGCAAAGTTTAAGCAAAACTACATCTGTGTAAAGCTATTGCAGTAATTAACCATTCAAGTCTCGTCAGAAACTTACTCCATGATATCAGCCACCCCATGCTTTGTAGCAGGTGGTCCAATCCGCCGCAGATGGAACATGGGGAGACCACTCCGGTTAAATCTTCCTTCACCAGCCATCCTTTCGTGTTGTCAAGTAAAATCAAGTAAGGCCTGCTAGTCCATCTCAACTTTCTGGAAAGGCACTTTGTTTATGGTCACTGTAAGAAAAGATTATTATATTGAATAAATACTATGTTGTGTAAAATTTCATATATATCATAGGTATATAAAACACAAATTTTTAATATACAGGTATCTGTTTGTCAAAACATTCAAAGCAGGGATATATATTTATGATATTCCAAAATACATGTAGATGACCCAAGCCTACACATCTATCAGTAGCAAACTAGCATAGGAATAATCAAATGTTTCAAATCTGAATCTCACAAAAGTCTCTTTATTCTTTTTTTATATTCTATCTGTATCATGTCCAGATCTTGCCACCTTGTTTTTTAACTTTTTTCTGTCCCTCTGTACCTTTAGATAGAACAATGCAACTTCAGAATTTTCAACATAGAAAGATACAGAAAACATATATATCATGATTATAATAAAGTATCAGTTTTCCCAGACATAAAAATAATAAATTTTCTTCAACACTGCTCATCAGACAACTATTGATCCCCTATTATTTTACTTTCAATGCACAGCACAGCTGAGGTGTTCCTCTACACCAGCTAGAGTGTGTGAAAGTTAAGCTTCTGATGTCACCAAAGGAACACTTGCTCGATCAACCTACATCATGATCCTGATCGATATATTGTGACCAGATTGCGAATGATGCTCCTTCTGGCACAGAAAATGCAGCTGTTGAACATGTTGAAGCTATAACAATTAAATGAGGATCTCATTGATTGTACTGCAACACTGTTGTATAAGGGGAATGTCTTGCATTTGTCATACTGGGTAAATCAAAGGAGTATTGGACAACTCTTTAGGAATCCAACAGATCTTGCAGCTTTGGCTTCTTCTTCCGGTATCGAGTCAATCTCCTAATACTGGAGTGTAAATTGACTCGGAGCATGATTGATAAAACAGGAGGCTTCCCCAAATGGTTAAAAACAGTTATGTTAAAACTACATACAGGTTCAGAGGTTGCTATAGTCTAGCGGATGCTGAGCGGCCAAGCAATGGTGTTGAGCTTGGCCCGAAACTCATCCAGTATTGCTACCTCTTCTGGGAGTTTATTCCATTCCTTGGTGGATCTGGGAAAAAAGGAATACTGGTAGACTTCCTATCTTCACTCTCCTCTGTGGTAGTTTTAGTCGGCTGATGTTTGATTCGCAAGGATTTGCTGTCTGTTACAATTTCTAAGTCATAGCCATGTAGGTGGTAAGTGACACTGACTGGCTTCCGCTTTCTTGTTATTGTGATGGTGACACACTTCGGAGGATGGAATGACATTTGCCAGTCGTTTTCATCTCTACCTTCTAATACCTATATTAAATATATATTATATGGGGCAAAGAAGTAATTCCAATATTGTGGACAAGTTTAGGTTGTCAAATTTTTGGAGCGATCCGCTCCTTTATCAAGACACAGTGAAACAGAACAGTTACATGTACATCATATTACAAGAAGATAGAACTGATATACTATAATTGAAAATATAGCTTTAATATATAAAACCAATAGTCCCCTCGGCTAAAGACAGCCGAAGGCAGCAATTAAGCTGAGAGCATCGCGGACAAGGAACGCTAATAGTCTAAATATCAGAACGCTGGCTGGCTCTGCTCTATAGCGAAAGTGCACTAAGACGACTCGCCCGATGAAACACAACGACGACCAGCCAAATGATAACCAAAATCGGAGAAGAATCCCTATAGAAAACTCTTTAACTATTTAATATATGTAGAGGACCTATTCTTGTGCAAGATGCACTATCACATAAAATGAGTCAACGAGAGATGAGCACCAGAAAGAAGGGAAGAGATATCAAAAACGTGGAACATGTGCACGTTGGAATCTGGTAAATGTGAAAAAATCTCAATTTCCTACGGACTGCCTACATTAGTCGCCTCTCAATGCTGCAGTGGATTTAACAGTCACAGCAGAGGGGTTCACACATAGTCGCCCCATTCGGTTTGCAGGAATAATGCATGTAATTATCAAATAAGTGAGTGCAGGAGGAATAAGTAGATGAAATGGTTAAGATACTGTATAAATCTGTAAAATTAATCTGACAACGGCTGTTGGTCACACACACTGACATGCAGCAGCAGGCGGGCGAGATAGCAGACCAACTGTGCAGTAATGCACCATTAGGTCAAATGCCCCCTGGAAGGAAAACGAGCTGATGGCAACCGCCTATCGTTCGTTCATACCTCGCGGGTTTCTAGATTGGTGATCCAAAACCGTTCTTTTGTACGTCATCTCGTTTTGTCCCATGTAGGCCAATGACCTATGGCAACCACCTGCATGTCTTTCCAACTGTGGCTAGGCATATTAAAATGCCTTGCCACAGAGAAGTCTGGTTTGTTCTGCTTGATGGAGCAGCGGTGGTTGTTGATTCTGAAATTGAGCTGGGTGCAGGTCTCGCCCACGTACTGTAAATTGCATTTTTTGCAGGTAATAAGGTACACCACATTGACTGATGTGCATGTCAGTGTTTGTAGTATGTGATACACTTTGCCGTTGATTGTACATTGAAATGTATCTGTGGAGCGCATGTATGGACAGAGTTTGCACACCTTCTTGTAACAGGTATTGAAAGAGCCTTTTGCCGCAGCATGGTTAGGTGTAGGTAGCTTGCTGCTTACCACAAGATCTCTAATGTTTTTAGGTCTACGATATGCCAGTATAGGAGACTCTGGAAATATCTGCCTAAGTTTCGCTGAAGATTTGATGATGCGCCAGTGCTCTTTCAAGATAGATGGAAGTGGCGGCATGTCTGGGTGGAACATGACTACACAAGGTACCCTTTGTGTTTGGGGTCTGACTTTGTATACATGCAAGCAGACTTGCCCTGTCCAGTACCCTCACTTTGTCTATTTCCCGTTCTATCAAAGTAGATTTGTATCCTCTGCCAAGAAGATGGGACTTTAACTCTGAACATCTGCATTCAAAGATGATGTCATCTGAAATAATACGCCTGATGCGCAGAGCTTGGGGAGTAGAGTATGCTTTTTGGTGGTGTGCGAGGGGTGACAACTGGATGGGTGGAGATACTGGTGTGTGTCAGTAGGTTTACATTGGAGGTCCGTACTAATCTTACCATCAATCAGAGTGGAACTGGTGTCCAAAAATGTGTTGCTCTCCGTGGAGATATCCACTGTGAATTTGATTGTAGCATGGAACGCTTTAGCGTACTCAATAAACTCGTCAAGGGAGTCGCGACCCGATGTCTATTTGATTTCCAACGTCATCGATAAATCTCAACCAGCTAAATGGCTTAATTGGAGCAGATTGGCTTCAAGATGTCCCATAAAAACATTGGCATATGAGGGGGCCATCTTAGTACCCATGGCTGTACCGCTAACTTGTATGTAGTTATCCTCATTGAATGTAAAGTTGTTAAGTGTGAGGACAATTCCATCGTAAATAACAAGGTCCTTCTGTAAGTTCTTGTCAGGTGTTTTGTTTAGATAGTCTGTGGTGTCTTTTAAAAAGGATGGTAAATGTTCCACGAATAGACGGAGGTGGAAGTCAACAAACTGGGAAATTTTCTGTCGGGTGGTTGATCGAGTTAATGATGGGTCTACCAGGGTTCCCAGGTTTGTGAATTTTAGGAAGAAGATAAAACTTTCCTGCTTGATGGTTGTCGGGGCGCAGGAATTTTGCAGTATCGTTGTCAATATCACCCTTCTGTAAAATTCCATTGATGGTATTATTAACCTGCTGCGCGTGTACGTGCGTCAGGTCACTATCGACCTTACGATAAAATGTCTCGTTGGAGAGTTGCCAATTGGCCTCTTGGATGTAGTCCTCCCTGTTCATTATAACAACTGCACAGCTTTTGTCCGCTGGCTTGATGACAATGTCCGAATTATCTTTCAGGGATTTGAGTGCCTGGCGTTCCAGAGGGGACAGATTGTCCTTGGTTGTCTGCGTGTTGTTTAAGTGGACGGCTACTGCCTCCTTCACTGCACTGATGAACGCTTCGAGAGCAGGTACTCTGCTAGGAGGAGGGTTCCATTTACTTTTATGTTTGAATGGATTGATCAGGAGTGCGACGGGAGACTCTTCTGAAGGAGTATCCTCTACATCATCTGGGTCACGGTCGTTATCCAAGTACACGCGTAGCCAAAGTAGCCTGTAAAATCTGTCCATGTCTTCGATCAGCTCTGCATTGTTGGGGCTTTTGGGGATCGGACAAAAATTAAGACCCTTAGTAAGAAGAGCATGCTCTGGTTCTGTAAGGTGATGGTTTGATAGGTTGATGACTGTATTACTCGTAGTAACCCAGTGGGCACATGACGTTGTAACAACCTTGCCATCAGGTCAGTTTCTGACATTGGGATTTGGTTGTGGTAAGGTTGTCAGTGAAAGTTTTCTAGACGTCTTTTTCGACGTTGTGAAGACGTTGTGATATGACGTATATATAACGTATATGTAACGTTTATACAACGTTGTTGTGACGTAATGTTATCCTAAATCAAAATGTCCTGTTGCATAAATGTACGTATCCGGTAATAAACATGATTAATCAACAAAAACAATTTATTTCAGTGTCATGACAATGTTTTTATTAGGAAAGTAGCAGCTCCCCATCAGCCTCCTTCCTTCCACCACCTCCTCTCCTTTCTGGGGCATACTTCAAGGCTACAGACATGGCGGTCACTGCTGTAGTTTCTGTGCATCGCATAGTACGTACTACAGCATCTGCAATTAAATCAATTAATCTTAATAAAATATGATAAATGTTACGACATGAATAAATTGTTTTACAATATTAAAACATATCAATACATTCTGAAACTTATATGTACATTTTGCCAAAAAAGCCACAAGAAGGAATATATCTGACACTCAAAAATGTATTAATATAAACAGTATATGAAATGTATAAAACATTAGAGTCTTACCAAGCACAACTTTAAACAATTTCAGATTCTGAAATTGTTTTTGTTTGTATTTATCAGCTTCCATGCTGCTAAATGTATGTCATTAGAAGATATCCATTTAATTTAATATACTTTAAAGTCGTATTTATAAA